CGATCCCTCCTCGGGCCCCGCTGACGAGGCCTCCTCTTCCCCGCCCAGGGGAAGCCCATCATCCCCAGCGCCAGGCGGGGGTAAGCCGGTTGGATGGGAGCCCAGAAACTTGGGGTCTCTCTCCCGCCTCGCCCGGCACTGCCTGTGTGCCGAGCACCCGCGGGGCAGCATCCGCCGGCTCCCTGGATGCCGCCGTTTTCTTTGGCCCCTTCCCGTTCTCCCTGTTTGTATGTTCTAGTCTGTCGCTTCTCTCCTTTCACTTTCAGTCCCCGCGATCGTTTCTCTGCAGGTCTCTTTTGTGCTGACCCCCTCTGTGGGGACCAGGAGATGGCATTTAGTTTTCTTGGGGAAAACCGGCAGAAACTGACTATTAAGGAGGCACACAGAGAAATGCAAGAGCAAAAGGGGCATGTGTGATACCGTCCCATGGCATATTCTGGCCTCTCAGCTGTTCCCAGCCAGGGTACTTTCAGAGCTGGACGTGGTTTCAGTGTATTTAGTGGGTTTTGGTTGGTTGTCCTCTGCAAACGGGTCCATTGCCTCTTGAATGTGTGTAAGCTTTCCATTACGGAACATTCTTTGGGTAGGAGTGGTCTATGTGAAGGTGATGTGCAGTGAACTGGTTCATTTTAGCCTGACTCACTGGGTTTCATTGACAACTTATTGTTCAAGTGTTAGAAAAGATGGTGAGTAACTGCTCTCCATTGAGCAGTCACTAGCTTGTACATCACTAGCTTGTAGACATCTGCCATATTTCTGTTGGTCATCCTCTTTTCCAGGCTGAGCTATCCTCAACTTGCTTCTTTGTTCCATGTGTGAGAGCCATTGCAGACCTTTAGTCATCCTCATGCCCCTTCTCTGAACATTTCCTGGCTCAATCTTACTCTTCTTCAGATGAGTGGGCAAGAATTGCAGCCAGTGCTTAATTTGCAGGCAAAGGATGGGTTAGTATAGTGGCACACTGGAGCAGTGAGTTATGCTTTTTTGCAATAGATACACGGAAATAATATTAAGAAAAACTTTTTCACTGTGAGGGTGACAGAGCACTGGCACAGGCTGCCCAGGGAGGTTGTGGAGTCTCCTTCTCTGGAGACTTTCAAAAAACCTGCCTGGACGTGTTCCTGTGTGACCTACTGTAGGTGATCCTGCTCTGGCAGTGGGGCTGGACTAGGTGATCTTTTGAGGTCCCTTCCAAACCCCTAACATTCTGTGATTCTGTGAATGCATGTTGTCTGAACACGAGTTGAAGAAAATGTACTGGGAACTTACAGGGAACTAGAAAACAGTCTTAAGTGAAAAACCGCATGCTGGATAGAGAGGTACTAGAGGCTGTGTCATCAGTTCAAGATCCCAGATTATTTTTAGTTGTCATCTTGTTCGTCTATCATTTCACCTCATTTAAAGGATTCACAGAAGTCAAAACAGCATTTTTCTTGTTTGAGGCAGCTGCAAATGAAACAGAAGTAGCGTGCTTAGAGCTTGGACCACGTGACCCTTCCGACCTGGTATTCTATTGTTCTATGATACTTGGATGTCTCTTTGTTATTGTTTTGAGGGGGAGAATCTGTTGAGCAGTCCTCAAAACAGAGGTGAAGAGCATTGGCTGACTGAGATGTAAAGTGCATTACACTTCTAACATGGCTCATTTATCTGCCAGAAAAGCCTTTTCCTCCAGTGTTCTCACTGCATTTGCTTTGGGCGTTACTAGGATAACAAGGGCAGACAGTTGTCTTTCCAAGCATTTATCTACCCGTTCTGGTGAGCTAGTTTCCCCCTCCTGGTCCATTTTCTTTTGTGTGGTGCACTTGGTGTTTGCATTGCTGATTAACTTCATGTACCTCACATGAAGAGATGCTGGTATATATTTCATTTTGGATTGACATAATGGTAGAAGTAATAATGAACACCTTAAGCTTTGTTTTGTTTAGCATCTTTCAGGTTCTTTTGTTCAAGAAGGTAGACATTTTCTTTTCATTCCAGGAAAGATGTTATCGTTAAATTCCTGGTTTCCTCAGAATAATTTATAAACTGCTTTGAAAATATTGTTAAAACACAAGTACAGGCATCCTGATGCAGGTAGACACCACTTTATTAGTTTATTTATATTACTATATTTAGTTCCCAACTATTAAATCTGATTGTTGGGAGCTAAAAGTAGACTGATTTAGACCTGAAGTAATATACAACCAGAGTAATTAAAAGCTTTCTTGTGGGATGTGAAGACTGACGCTACAAGTTTGAAGTTGAATGTCTTTATGAGGGAAATGTTTTAAATCCACAGAAAGTAAGTGGCTACGAAATTTCAAGCAGTGTTGGACAGTAAGTCAAACTGAAGAGCTAAAAATTCTGGAGAGTGAGTTACAGTTAAACCTTTTCATCGTGCTTCTAAAATGAGGTGAATGTTGTGGACTGTCATCTTTAATAATTATAGTAATTACAACAGACTTTTTGCAGTGAGACTTGCACGGAGACTTGCACTCTGTGAATTAGCCTCCTTACCTTTAAGACTGTAAAATAAATGGGCCAGGGCTTCAAACTGCTGTTGTTTACAGAAGACTCAACAGAAGCTGAAGAAGCCCTCAGTCTTGCGATCTGATCTGCGTGGCCTAGCAGACCGGACTTGTAAATCATATGTTGGGCTAAAAATTCATAAATCTGCTTACTTCCAGTAGATCTGCAAGCAGGAGGAAAAGTGATATATTTACTTGATCAGAGCTTTCACTGTAAGAATTGCAGGCAGCTGAATTTAAAAGCCCAGTTTTTGTATTACGGTAATGTGCCCAGTACACTACTGTACTATAGCAGCCCAAGCCCAGAATGAGAGTAGAATTGGCACCAATTTCTCCCACTGTCTGTACCAATCTATCTAAACTACTGTTTGCCTTTATTTGTGTAATACATTCACCATGAAATAAACCATTTAGCTTCCAGTTTCGGCTCTGGGTAGTCCTAGAGTATGGCCTCAAGAGAAGACTGTTGGATTTTCTGAGGAATAACGTAGGAATTGATTTTTGTATTATTATATTGTTATTTTAGTTACACATGTGACGTACTTTGTGTCTTTTTGTCAGATGTATCTGCTGTGGGTTTGAATCAGTAGCAATAGCTGGCTATTGCCTACTACTAGGTGGATTTTTCTGAATGTGATTTTAGGTATTGTGTTGCAATAACTTTAAAAAAAAATATGTCCTCAGAGGCGGCAGACCTGCGACAGAGAAAGAAGCAAAACTGCACAGAATCTGACAAAATGGCTCCAGAGGAAAGAAACAAAGAAAACTCAAAGCTGGGAAGATCGCCAAAATGTAAGCTACAGATATTTTAGCCAACTTCTGATTTTTTTTTTCACTATTCTTTAACATTTTGTGGGAGGATATTTGTAGCACAGTAATTTATAACAGACTTATTTTGGATTGAATGTTGAATGTTTCAAGAATAAAGTGCAAGCAGATTAGAATTCTTTAATAATGACATTTTGTATATTGCAGAGTAAACTGGTAGTTCTGGATTGTTTCAGGTTGGGGAGGAGAGGAAGGGAGAGAGGCTTAAAGGGATTAAGAATTTTACTGTTGTTACTATTTGAGTACAAATAAATATTTTAATTGCACCTGGAATGATCTTTCTGTTGGGAAGCTGAAAGGCTTAAAGTAATGGTACCAGGAACAGAAAGAAAGTCCTTACAGCTTTCCAGAAACAGAAATGAGTGTAATTTTAGGCAAGTGCTCACTATACTACCAAAAACTTCTAAGTTACAGGTGCGTACTAAGTTGAGGGAGCTACAGGCGAAGTAGACACCCGTTGAATGTGTTTGTTAAAATTCAGATTTGTTCCTTCCTCTTACATTTAAAAACAAAATAGAGAATAGAACGTTTCAGTATTGATGTTAGACAGGGTGTTGCCACCTTTCTGATAACATCTTTAAGAAATTTATGGTGTTTTGGGTAAAATCTGGAGTTGGCTGTGTTTATTTGGAAGGCACTTTTCCTTCTTGGAATTCATTTGAAAAGTAAGCTTACTAGAAGGGAGAGAAATTTGCAACTTAGTGTGTATTTTATCTGAGAGTCCTATGATACAGTGGTAACACCTGGGAAAGAAAACTCTGCAGGACAGGAGTAACAAACCAGTTCTCAGTCTATCTGTGCTGCTGGTGTTGTGATAGTGATAATAGTGATGCCTGTAAATTTACTTGCTGTTCAGAAACGAGTTGTATGTAGAGCATGATGACTTTTTCCAAATCCTTTGGACTCTTATTTTTTTCACTGTCTCTTTTCAGATATGTTAATTCAGCGTTTTGCGAAACTTTTCTTTGGCTGTCTTGCTGCAGTCACTAGTGGAATGATGTATGCAGTGTACCTCTCAACATATCATGAACGGAAATTCTGGTTTTCCAGCAGGCAGGTAAAGAAGAAGTTAAAACTACTGAAACAAAAGCCAAATTGTTTCCGTGAAATCAAAGCTGATCCACATCAGCTTGAAACTACTTGCTTGCAGAATCCCCTACTTTTGTCTTGAATACAGTCTCTTTTTTTGTTTTTCTTTCTTTCTAGTCTTCCTTTCTTTTTAGTGTTTTCCTCTCTTTTAGTTCTTTCGTCCTTTTTTTCCTTTCTTCTAGTCCTTTCATTCTTTCTTCTGCTTCTTTCTAGTGTTTCTCCTACTATCAGTAGTGTTGTCTTGTCATGCTTGTCATATGTTTTCCCATGCCATTCTTTATCATTGAAATACCTTTCTAAAATTGGGACAAAAAACTGGGATTGGATAAGCTAAACAACAGGAGTGTATGGGGTTTGGCTTTGTTTTTTTTAACTGTATTATTTAGTGAAGTATGGAAAGTTGAATGAAATTCAGGTTTGTGAATATGAAAGAATCCTGTGGATCTTGTGCTGACTTACAATGTGAATTTGAGTTGCTCTGATTCCAAGCATGTTTGCTAAGTTACAGAGAACATTATATACCTGACAGAGGTGCTGTAAAGATTACTATTGTGTGGAATACTTTGAAGATGTACGGTAGAGTCATAACCATGTGCTGTATTACAAAACAAGTCTATCTGAAAATATACGGTCTTCTGTGGAAAGAGATTGCAGGAGCTGAATATATTTTTTCTTTTTCTTTTCTTTTAGGAACTTGAACGAGAAATTACATTTCAGGGTGACAGCGCCATTTATTACTCATTCTATAAAGAACTGCTAAAGGCTCCTTCCTTTGAAAGAGGTACAAAACCCATTTGTTTTATTAACCTTGAAAAGTCCCTTTCCTTTTGGAGATGGTAAAAAAAACTCCTGCAGACTGAGAAGACTGATCTTGTACTCTTGTATAGGTATATCAGCCAGATTAATTAAAAACTGCATGCTGTCCTAACTTTTCAGTGCCATTTAAAAAAACAATATTTAACTGCCCTGTAGTATCACAGATTATGTGATTCTGTGATTACTACTCTTACGTTGTCCTGTATGGAAATTGTCATTGGGTTTGCCCATGCTACATAGTGGATTTTCTGGCATGTAAGCGTAATGTGTGTCTGACTTGAGAATGAGGGATCGAAATTACGATTTTACAGTTTCTGTCAAGAGTTGATCTGCTCCATCCCTTCCCTGTCAGAGACTTCTACTCCTATGAGCTATGATGTTGATGAGCACTGAGCGGTGGGGACAGAAACCAAGGGGAAGGAGCACTGGCCGTGGTCTCTCCTTCCTTTGCGCTCCTGCTCTTTATCCTCTACTGGCTCTGGAGCTCACTGTAACAGCTGTAAATAGCTGGGCTGCCTGATCGGAGCATCCTGCCATTGCGGATGGGTAGACTTGTCTGCCACTAGTTGTTACGAGGGCACACAGTTTTCAAAGATGTATCATAGCTGTGCTGAACCTAGTTTTGCCAGTAGAGAACCAGCAGGAGACCACACACCAAGATATGTTCAGAGCTGTAAGTGATTATCTTGTGTGGTTGTTGCATTGTTGGTGTTTTTTTTGTTGTCCCCCCCCTTTAATTTGAATTGTTTTTCCTCTTCCCTCTATTGTCCTAAAAAACGACAAGTCTTTAATTGTAATATCTCCAAATTATATGTATTTCAAGTATGCCAGCTTCAATTTCATCTCAATCCCATACAAAGGCGTATTAAGTGGGTGATTTGTAGAAGGCCGTCGTATCTAATCTCTTTGTGGAGACAGGTTTAATACATCTTGCTCACCTCCGTTAGATCTTTGTCTTACCTCTTAAGAACCTCCTGTGAAGGTGATCTGTAGGGGGCTGGTTCCAGAGCTGTGTAAGTATGTTACTGAAAAGACTGCGCTTCAGCTGGGTAGTTTTAGGCCTTCTATTTAAAGATAACATCAAAAACTGGTAATAACTGTGTTGCTAAACGAGTAGGTTGGAATGGTATCTGGCACAGAAATTTCTCTGTTCTTTGAAATTAGGAGTGGTAAATCAGTCAGTAGCTTCAAATGATCAAATCTGTTTCCCCTTACCTTTGAGAACATTTTCATGTCTTGTGAGAACAGCAATAGTAAGTGATTCCAATAATAATATATTTTTTCCTCTGTAGGTGTTTATGAGTTGACACACAACAATAAGACAATATCACTGAAGACGATAAATGCAGTCCAGCAAATGACTTTGTACCCAGAGTTGATTGCCAGTGTTTTATATCAAGCATCTGGTAGCGAAGTACGTGCATTTCTCCTGCTTTTTGTGCTTTCATTATAGTTGTGTGTGTGTGTGTGTGTGTGTGTGTGTGTGTGAGAGAGAGAGAGAGAGAGAGAGAGAGAGAGAGACTTTCTGTGCTGTATACAGTAAACACGTGCAATTTTTGTTGAATGAATAGAGCTAAGCCTCTTGCCAAGTCCAGGTTCTCCTCAGTTCTGATGAGTCTCTAGCATGACATTTTGGGGGGTTTATATGCACTAAACTTTTCTGTCTGTTATTATTTACTGTGTGGAGAGTATCTGTGCTATCCATTAAAAATAGGAAAGCTGGCTTCTTCACAGTACAGCAGTGTTGCATTGGTATCTGTCTCTACCCATTCCCATGTAGATAAAGCCAAAAACACTTTTGTAGATAAATCTTTTGTCTCTTTCTTATATGCTCAGGCTTTGTTCTGCTTATGCTGCATACACGTCCTCTCTCATTTATCTCTCTTTTTTATTATTGATTTATTTTGGAACCATTTTTGCGACATCTTTACTTCTTTAAGTTCCTCCCCTATGTAACTTCTTCCAGTAGTCCTGTGAACCTCATATCTCACTGCAGCATAGATTTATTAAATCTGATACATACAATGTTCATGTTAAAGTAAATGCAAAAATCATGGCACTAGCAAGCTGAGTCCCGAGGTGCCCTCCTAATTCACACTGCTTGGTTCTCCCTGAGCCCAAAATTAAAGCATGCTCAATAATTTTCTAGAATAGGGACCGTCTCTTACCTGTTTGTAAAGCACCTAGCACACTGTTAGCAGTATGTAAATAGTAATTACTTCCAGCTTCAGCTCAGTTGCCGCTATGTCTCTTCGTTTTTATTTGTAATTTCAGGAAGTTATTGAGCCAGTGTATTTCTACATTGGTATAGTTTTTGGACTGCAGGGAATTTATGTGACTGCATTGTTTGTAACCAGTTGGGTTATGAGTGGGACTTGGCTGGCAGTAATGCTGACTGTAGCATGGTTCATTATTAACAGGTAAGAAAAATATCTTTATACAATCTAGTTTGTCAATAAGGCATTTTAAAGTAGTAAAGCGAATTGAAATACTTTCTATTAAACTTTGTGTTCTCTTTGTGAGAGCAAGCTCTTATATTCAATACAAAACATTTTCCTGAGAAACGCTGATTCTACTGATGCTTTTACTGATCGAAAGGCCTCATGTCCAAACCATCCTCGCTGGCAGTTAAACAGACTTTATGTATGTGTGTGAATACAGGAGCATTCTCACACAGTTCCATTTTGCAAAAACATTCCTCAGAAGATTTTGGCTTTATGCTGTTGAAGAATTGAAAACAAATTTCTGAAGTTGCTGTTAAACAAAACTGATCTCTGTGGCCAGCTCTAAATATTGGTGATAGTTTTTCTGTTGCATAGAAGGAAATGATCAAGTGCATTTTTCTTGTAAAGTGCCTTTGATATTTTTTAAATCTGCACTTTGTAGTGGGGTTTTGTACAAAGTGAAATCTTCTTAGATGATCTTGATCTCAAGATTTTTCTATCTTAAAACATTTCACTTGCAAGGAAATGCCCCTTCTCTTTTGAAATACCACCATAATAGGGAGCCTCATTTGAGCAATGAGAACCTGTGTTCAGACTCCTGGTTTGTCACCAGGTAGCTCTTGGGCTTTCTGTGAATTTGAGAGCACTCAAAAGAGAAAGAAAATCAAAAAAAAAGGGATATACCTTTAAAGTTGAACTGTTGGGAGGAATCTTTTAGGAGTGTGAAGTCATCATGACCGAATCTGTGATTAGTAGCTAAAAATGCTGTTCATCAAGCTGGTGTGAACAACGGAAAGTAGGAATAAATGATGAAGAAATCTTTTTTTCATCAGCAAAGAAGATTAAACAGTGTTAACAAATTGAAATGTCTAGTAGTTAAAAAAGCTCCAAATACACCTCTGTTAGAGGCTTCAGAGGTAAAAATGAAAGGTGATGCTTTCAAGTATCTAAATGATAAAGGAGCTTGAGGCTCCTTTTTAAAAGCATAGTAGACACAGAGAAGACTGTGTACCTCTGAAACTGATGCCTTTGCTTGCGTTTGAAAGTGTGACTTGTGCTTCTAAGTCACTTCAGCACTTTTTAAAACTTTCTCCTACAGCTCTAATTGTGCAGATACTGTCAAGTCATTCCACAAGAAGACCCTACACGCTCCCCATCCGTCTTTAATCTCTTGTTTTGCTGGGCAGAATTTTCCCTGTAGACAGAGTATCTGCTGGTGCTGCTGCTATGAGGGAGCACTACTTTGGATTCTAAGTATGTTGTGCTTGACTGCCTAAATCACTTACTTAAAACACAGTGTAGGAGAGCTGAAAGGAATCCGTTCACTCAGCTATGAGATGATTTTCATGGTAATGTGAAAAGCTGCTGTTAGTGCAAGGGTCCCCTGTCTGTGGACCTAAGACTGTTGAGCCCTGCTCATGGCCGAAAAAAGGCACCTGTTCTCACAGTGCGGGTTGACAGAAGCAGTGCCTGATGCTCACACAAGAGTTGTGGTGGGTCAGAAAAGGCTGGAGGCAGATGCTTTTTTGATTTCAGTCCTATAAATGCCACCTAATAAAGAGACCTGCTGAATAAGTGAGTAAAGTTTGGACCTTCCATGCTGACAGTAAATTTGTGACCTGTATTAGCAGTGAAATTGTGTCAGTGTTACTTTATGCCTAATAGAGGATAAGTTTGCTTACAGGGCCACACTGATAACTTGAAGTGACTTTTAGGCTTTCCTTAATATTTTTATTCCATGTATCTTTTAATAATTTTGTTTTTCTGTACTTTTTTCTAGGACAGATACAACAAGAATTGATTACTCCATACCGTCAAGGGAAAATTGGGCTTTGCCATATTTTGCATGTCAAGTAGCAGCTCTCACAGCATATTTAAAAAAAAACCTAAACTGTTCTGCTGAGGTAAAGCAAAATTAATTTCTTACTAAAGAGTTTCTGGTAGATCTGTGGTTTAGAGTAGTTACCTCTCTCACTAATGCCCCACTAGGCAGAAAACAGTAGATGTTTTGTTTGTTCTTTTCAAAACAGCCACTTGGATTTCTCTTAGGCATGTGCAGTTTTTGCTAAGCAACTCGTGCCCTGCCCTGTTATGCCCCCGTGAGGGTTCAGGGAGAACACTGTGGTAGTGAGCTGTGTGCTGTCTTTTTAAAATAAACTGATGCAGATTTTTTTGCACTATGTAAACTATTTAATTGCTCTTCCTATTGCTTAGAAAAGATGATGGTAACTTCCTTTCCGTTTTTCTGCCAGAGATGTTTTTTCTGATTGGCTTTAAATGTGTTTGAATGTTTCAGTAATTACTTTTCTTCCATTTTAGAACATACTAAATATGTCTGAAGTCAGTATTTTAATTATTTCCTAAAATAATAATTAATATCCATAGTTTCTGTTTAATGACCTATCAGTTACTTAGTGACAGAGATACATAGGTATGAAATAAATGCACTTTTTTTGTTTGCTTTCTCTTTGCTCTAGAAGTTTTGTTACCTTTTGGTGAATGCCTCAACATATACCTTCATGATGATGTGGGAATACAGTCATTATCTCCTGTTCGTTCAGGCAATTTCTCTTTTTCTGCTAGACAGCTTTGCCCTGGCACAAACGGAGAAGGTAATAGAACTCTTTAACCTACTGAGAGTTGGGGATTTAATACAGCCTCAGAGGTGCCTGCCATAAATACCGCTCAGGAGCTCCAGAGGGCACAGGCTGAGCGCTGACTTGAGTGCCTTGCAGCCAGGGTTGAGCTGAAGAGCATGTCACATCCCTCAAAAGAAGAAAATGGCTTTAAATTAACTTTCTTTTGGACTACTGCATTTGAGACAGCTTTCCTAATAAAAGGGTCAGCAGCTAAACAGAGTTGTTGAGGCCTGTAGGGTGAATGGTTGGACTTGATGATCCCAAGGGTCTTTTCCAACGTGAATGATCCTATGATTCTATGATCCTTGTAGAGCTGAAAAGGTGATGAATGATACTTGGTCATGCATCCTTTTTGGCCTAGCTGCCTCTTCTTTTCCCCTTTCGCAGTAGGGTGGGGCTGACCAAAAAATTGCTTTGTTGGCTCTGTTGAGGGGCTTATTTCACAGAATCACAGAATCACAGAATGTCAGGGGTTGGAAGGGACCTCTGAAGATCGTCTAGTTCGATCTTCATCCCAGCATACCTAACCACTACAC